CTGCCCATTGATTGGCTCATTGTTGCTGGGGTTTACTTATTGTGACGGCAGAGAAAGACAATGCGGCATAAATTTTATATTCAGATGTTCGGTTATTGATTACTTTTTTCTGAGGTTTCATATTGTGACAACAGGTAACGTGTTTTATGTTTGACTATAATACAAGAGAGAAAGAACATCAAAACACTCGGCAATCTGATTTATACTCGGGGGTAGCCCCCGAGTATAAATCAGATAGCCTCGTGTGCCGATGCTCTTTCTATCACTCATTAAACTAAGTAAATACCAGATTCTAAAAATATAAATTCTTACTTTCTTGAATAGTAGTCACCAGATTTAAATCAAAGACCTTAGAGTGTTTGAAATTATCTTTTGTTCAATAGGATTGCAGTATTTCAAATGAATCGTAACACATTTACTTCGTTAAATCGACAAACTGTTAATCAGTCTAGTGAGTCAACTGTTTATTAATAATTAAACACTAAGCCCGTTAAAATTTATTAGCACGCAATTGGTCGCGCGGCTACGCCGCGTCTGACCAATTAAATTTTGTAAATACGTACTAATAAACTTTAACCTATACTATATATGACAAATTCAGTAGTTAATGATATGCTGATACAAAGCGTAACAAATGATATTTTTCTTGTATCAATAAAAAATGGGAATAACAAAATCGTAACATTGCAACTTCTACACTTAAAGAAAATTTTACCAATCTCAAAATAAAAATCTGACAGGTGACATAAAACTAAAATCACAAATAATCGAGACCATATTGATTCACAGCAAATGAAAAATGCACACATAATTACGGACATCGCAAGAGTACGCGGACTCCGAATATGGGACTGAAAAATTACGGACATAGAAATAATTCTTGTGGAAAGACAACCCTCTAGCAAAGTCAAGTAAATGACGTGACTTAGAGAATACGATTTCAAGTTCAAGACTCGATATGTTTTTTATGCCCCCGAAGAGAGGCATATTTAAATCGAACCGTCCGTCTGTCTGTCTTAATGTCCGTCTGTCTTTATGTCAGTCTGTGCGTCCTCACTTCATTCGTGTCCGGACTGTAACTTTAAGAGATTTTGAAAAAGCTTGGCAAACATGTCTACCACATCAGGACGATATGTCGCGTCCAAGAACTACGTCCCTACCTAACAGGTCAAATTCCCACTTACATTTGGAAGTTTCACATAATCACAAATAGAGTTAATAGGTACACACATTCGTGCCTGGACTGTAACTTTGTCATGCATTTAGATTAATTATAAGCACATTTTAATGCATGTGCAGAAATTAAAAATTGGACAAATAAACTGAAAGAACGTTACCTCTATCATTTTTTCTTCGAGGTGATGGCCCGGGGTGTATTTGGAAATTTAAGTAACAAAACACCAAGTTATGGTGAATTAATTTTAGGATTAAAAGAACGTTTTTTGCCAAGAAATCAAACACAATTATATATAGGGTACAACTTAGAGATAGGAGACAGAGAGTTTATATTCTGACACGAGATTTCTAATTAAGTTGGCTGGACCTACAAAATTTAATCCTATGCAAGAATTTAGAGCTATTTTTAAAAGTATTCAGATTCAAAATTCACAATTTTCAATTTATCACAAGATAGAAATAAGCGATCTTCCAATGTTTTAGAACACCATACGAAATAAACATTGCACATTACAGTAACAAAATAGAAATAGACACCCAGTTACTTGTATTAGATGTAGAGATGTCGGACATATACAAACATTATGTCCTAAACAACTAGGAATAGATAATGCACAAACTGTAAAACCTGCCAAAGAGACACATCAGTCTGCACAACTATCTACGATGCATTGGTCAGGTTTATTTATAGATGCAACTGTTAATAATATAAATGTGTCTCATTTGATCGTCACTGGTGCAACTCTTACGATAATATCTGAAAGATTTATGACATGATATGTGAGTTTACGTTACCGCTTAAATTGTTAACAAGTCTGACAAACAATTACAAATCAAAGGAAAAGTAAATTGATGGTCCAAAGAGTTTCTTGGGTGTTGTCTCTCCAATAGTGACAACTATTATTCTAGGTATTGACTACTCTTATATGCAATCACGAAACATGACCATAAAATTAGCACCCGGGGCGTCCGTAGCCGAGTGGTAAAGGTCGTTGACTTCAAACAAATTGCCCCTCACTGCTGTGGTTCCGACAGGGACTTTGGCTTCTTTCATGTGAGGAAGCTATCCAGTTCGCTTACGGAACGTCGCTGGTTCTAATCTGGTGTCCGTTCGTGCCTGAAATAATGCACAGAAGGGCACCTGAGATCTTCCTCCACCAGTAAAGCTGGAACGTCGCCATATGCAAAATATAAGATTTTTCAGATAAAGGTTTTATATGATAAAGCAAATAAATGTCCCTTATTGAACAATAATGGAATAATAGCACGAGCAGTTTAAAGAAATGGGAAAGTTTCCGTTACACTTATGAATATATCCGATTAAATTCAAGTACTGTATCCAGGAACAAACATTGCATTGATCAATGAGCTCAGTTGACAGAATGGGACACAGCTTCCACGTCATTTGACGGACATTTATGAGCGAGTTACAGTTGATTAAGATAAAAATCAAAGCAAACACGTTAAGAAGCTTCTGATAAAATATTCTTCTTTATTTTCTGCAAATGATCCTGACTTAGGTCGTACCGGTATAATTAAGTGTAATCTACTAGTACAATGTACAAAGAAAGTGCGATCTTTCTGAGGACTTGGTAGCTATTTTCGGAGGTTAATTGATAATTCCTTTGCTATAGCAAAGCCGCCCCGCCGTTTAAGTCAGAAAAAACAGGGAATTATATGGACACAGTATTGTTAAGAAGCATTTAAAACATTGAAACAAAAATTAGTTCAGTCTCCAGAACTGTCTCATTCTGATTTTTCAAAGCTGTTTATTCTTGATGCATGTCATGAATCTATAGATGCTATTTTGGCTACAGATATTCATGGCAAGGAATATTTTAATGCCTATGCCAGTCACACAACGACCATATCTGAACACAAATAATGTGTGAAGAATTAAAGAAGCTTAAATTTTGTGAATCACCTTAGTAATTATTTGGCTGGAAAGAATAGATCGTGGATCCTTGAAATGGCTCAGGAACTTTAAAAGCCCCGAAGGTCAAGTCGCTAGATGGATTGAAATTCTATCAGCTTACGATATGAAAATTGAGCATACATGTAACATACCAACACAGATGCAGATTCAAGAATACCATGTAAACAGTATGGAATTACTAGTCACTTTGTGCAGGAAAAAGAGTCATTTCGTGGCACAACTTCAAACTGATTCATCTACATTAGAAAAAAATCGTATCTGTTAATATCACTTTACATGATGCTCATTAATGGAAGAAAACATCAAAATTGTTATGAAGTGGATAAACGGTGGTGAAAGACCAAATCACAAAAATCTGGAAACAAAGTGATCCCTCAAAAGCATAAATCACAACAAAATTACATGAAAATTGCAGACTCGGTTTCATTGAGTCTGTAAATGAGGGATAATGAATAAGTGCAACATCCCTCACGCCCCCTAGCACGGCTTGAGCGGTACTCAATTCTCAACACTTAATAGTGCTGGCATCAATGAAGTTTTTACTACATGCATACAAGGATATAAGGAAGACCTTTAACCCCTAGGGTGGGGGCCAATTTTGATACCAACAACTTTGACCGTAGAGGATTTATAGATTATATAATAATTATACAAATTATCAAAGCTCTAAGCCTTGTACCTTCCTTATTGACAGTCGTTTTAGATTTAAAAAATAATTACGTACAGAGTGAAATACTGAAAAACACTGAAAAACGGGGTTGAAATCGAAAGTAACCTTTCATATGTAAAGATATTTTTGTTACAATCTCTTTTTGTCCTAGTTACAACTGACAGAATAAATAATGGTAAGATTAAACAATGTTTTGTTTTTTTACATTGAAATGTGGATGTTCCAAAATGAACCTGTCGTATTTGTTAAGGTAATTTAATGTCGAACACCGACATCTACGCAGTCGGTAGGCAATTATTTTAAATATGCGAAAAAATATAAAAGATATAAACGTTCTATCAATTTATCCCTGATCATATAAAGCATTGGACACTTATCAAAACATCATAAACTGAGGTACCTGATAAGTTCGACTTCTTTGGTGTGTTTGATCACAAGTAAACTGACTTGATCGTGAACGCCATTTACGGTTTCGCTATTACTCAGTATACTCTTGTGTAATATAAACTAAGTTTTTTATGTAAAATAAAATGTTCACTAGAAAATGCAATGAGATCTAAACGCATTGTAAAATGTTTTGTGGGAGGAAGTATGGTTAAACAGAACTTAAATACCTTAGCAATTGAAGTAGAAAGTTCAATTACTTACTATCCTTTGCATTTTATCTTTGAAATATCCTTTACATTTTTATTTTAAAATGGCCAATGAGATTCCCAGACTTCAATTTGTAATTTTAAAATGACCATTGAAAATTATTCTTATATTTATTTCTCCCATGTTTTTGCTGACATTCAAACTGATTTTAGACGGCTTACGACCAATAAATAATGTTTCATTAGGTTTCGAACCTACAATACCTTCAAAATGAAGCTGAAAGTTTTCACTCCTTGTCACCGAGGCTAGGTAGGCAAGTGTTGTGATTGTTAAGTTTCATTATACACATACCATGTAAATCTTTATACCATTCTTTATAACCTGTAAGATTTACTTCGGTATCCGATAATTACTGACAAAGTGTCATTGAATATTCAAATGTCTCCCGTCCATATTGCCAAAGAATAACAAGGATATATGGAGTGGCCATACAAACACACTTCTGTGATAACCAACTCACAAAATAGGAAAACTTTAAACTGCTAAACATAATATAATTTCAATGAATAAAAATTTGTTTTATCGTCTTGTTAATTACCTCAAAAAGAAAAGAAACACCACGCCAATTTTTGTAAGCTTATTTATTTGTAAACGAAGATCAACATTATTGAAGCATTAATTTACCTGTTAAATAGAATCTTTATATCAGTTATATTCAATTATAACACACATGCCTAAACAGTCCTAAATTGCTATCATTAAAACAATGTTCTAAATACAAAACTCCTGTTGTAACAAAGTTTTCTTCACATTATTAACAGTTGTAAGACTATAAATATTATTTTATGCTTGGTACAAAAATCAAGATTGGTATACTATTAAATATTCTTAAACAAATAGAATGCCATTAAAATATCTACTTAGAGAAAAAGAGCAATATTGAATCCGCCAGCCAAAAGACAAACTAAAACAATTTCACTAATTCTTATGCAAGTGCTGTAGCTGGCAGACAATTTAGAAATAATGTTCAATAAACTCCAGAACAGAAATTTTATTACATTTCACAAATGACCATGTTCCCATACCACCTTTCCCCCAATGATTTCATTAAAATTATGTCATGATACTTTAAAACAAACGGCCAACGTATTTAATCTCTACATATATGACAATACCAAACAAAATACAACACATGCATGTATTATGCCATTTTTCATCAAGTGCCAATCAAAAACAATATTTCAATTAACACTTTCTTTTTGTAATACACAAGAACATATAAAAGAAAATTAACATTTTTTTCTGTACTAAACTTAAACATAAATGAACACCAATCCAAAACAGTTTGATATAATAAACAGAAACATTATTTATTTAATGTAGTATCAAGTATCAATAACAAATCAAAAATAACAACACAATAATACATGATATAATTATAACTCGATTCAACAAAAATATCACACAATTTTATTATTATCACTTGTGTTTCATTGTTTTTATGACCATCACAGTTTCCATGTTTCTCATGCTCGCAACCTTCACATTTTTATACTTATAAAAATTTTCAAGTCTAGTAATAATTTGACAATGAAAATACTTCCTTCCACTGAACAGTTTATCACAACTATTATAAGGCCATATGTTTTTGTGTAACACGCAAAAACAAAGAATACAAGCATACGTATTATGATTGTCTGCTTTAACATTATCACTATCCAACATCCCTTTTCTTTTAAAATATTTCACACACCCATCACAGTTTTGAACATTTGGTCTTGTATGTTTTTGCCAGTCCTCACATTTACAATGAGAATATCTCTCAATATCTTCTATAGTTTCCAGTCTGTTTTTCTCTCAACATAACGTATGTACACACCCATGTATGAACACTGTACTTATATAGAATGTCTTTTGGGAAGTCTTCTAGTACTGCCAAATCTAACAGAGGATTGTCCATGCTGTCTACATATCCATACAGCCATTCTCCAAGTCTGTATAAAATAAACATTTACAATAAATAATAATTATAACAAGCAATTATCATAGTATTGCAAGCAATCCATAAGTCCCCTACCGGTTAGAACCCCATCAGCATTCTGAAGGGCCATTGGCCATTCACTAATGTTTAATTTTTTTTCTATTTTAAGTAAATTTGTTGGAAAAGTTCTTTAAAAGTGATCACAGGAAAAAGTTTTTATGAACAGACAGACGGACTGAAGGACACTCTAAAGTTAATATTTGAAACATCCCTGTTACCAAAATATAACATTTTAAAAAGAAAAGTTATTAAAGAGGAGAACTCTGGAATTAAAGATGCAATTTCATAAAAATTTTCAGCTCTTTTTGACTAATCACAAATATTGTTATATTTGCCATGTTTCCAAATATTGTTATATTTGCCATGTTTTAAGCCTATTTGTTGCCAAGGCAACCAATATTTTTTTCAAAATAGGAAGAACAGATAAGACATGCATACTCTCAAGACTGCCATCTACCCATATGTCAAGTTTCATAAAAATATTTCCAGTACTTTTTGAGTTATCACTGGATTCAGTTTATGTGTAAAATTTGCCATATTTTCAGTCTATGTGTTGCCATAGCAACCAGAATTTTCAACAGAGGAAGAAAAGAAAAAGACATGTATAATCTCCAGACTGCCACCTACACATATTACAAGTTTCATAAAAATATTTCTATTACTTTTTGCGTTAACACTGGATCCAGTTTATATGTAAAAATTGCCATATTTTCAGTCTATTTGTTGCCATAGCAACCAGAATTTTCAACATAGGAAGAAAAGAAAAAGTTGTGCATAATCTCCAGACTGCCATCTACCCATATTTCAAGTTCATAAAAATAGTTCCAGTACTTTTTGCGTTATCACTGGATCCAGTTTATGTGTAAAATTTGCCATATTTTCAGCCTATTTGTTGCCATAGCAACCAGAATTTTCAACATAGGAAGAATAGAAAAAGACGTGCATAATCTCCATACTGCCATCTATCCATATATCAAGTTTCATAAAAATATTTTCAGTACTTTTCAAGTTATCGCGGGATCCAGTTTTGTGGACGGACGGACTGACGGACAGACAGACGGACGGACAGACGGACGGAGGGTAAACCTAAAGTCCCCTCCGGTAAACCGGTAGGGGACTAATAAAATTATAATATTTCCAAAGCTCATAAAATTATTATCTGTCAAAAAAGACATGAAAAACATACTTAAATGGTGATAAGCCAGTAAGATATTGAAAAGATCTATCAGATCTATATAATCATTCAACTTTTACTGATGTGTAGACAGTCTACTAAATCTGCTGAGGTTTATGTTGACCAATCAAGTAACAAATCATAAAGAGGTTTACTTGTGATTGGTTGTATCAATAAAATCCTCGTCCTCCGGGTTTTGTCTGACAGCAACAACTAACAGAATATACTCATGAAGTATTTCTGCAAGCTGGTTTAGTTTTTCTATTGACAATTTCTTCATATAATCCCTGTATTCTGTCATTATCTCATCTGGCAATTCCTCGTGGAACTCTTTTAACACACTTTCAAATGTTGACTGAAATGTAAATTATTTGTGTTCCTATCAATTATCTACCATAATATAATAAACACAGTTTCTTATGATCTGACACAAAACAAACACATATAGTTAATCAAACTATAAACTTTTAAGGTAATCCTAAACCCATGTTATGTACTGCCATGATTTAAAACTGCACAATCTTAGAATTTTGCAGTATGTCTAGTCTAGTCAGACCTGTACAGAAACTCTCAAAGTGACCTTAAAATATATGCAAAATAAAATAATTACAGCTGCAGTTTAGAGAGTGAAAATACTTTGTCAACCTACCTCTGTGTGTTGATTATTCCCAATCATCTTCTTTGATTTCTGTAGTGACAGCAGTAACCATAGTGACTGTGCATGTCTCAACTCACATGCCTGCTGGGCCTACAATGAATTTGTAATAATGTTATTAGCCTACCATACTATAAAAACCAGTGGGTTCTTATTCTTAGTCAATTCTGAATATTTTCCAAAACTGATATATTTGTAAACTTGTTTCCTTAAAAGCATATTTTCATGTATGATATATTGAAAGGCCACATACAATAATGAATAAACACGAGGGCCATGATGGGGTTTTTAAAAAGATAACACCCCCCCCCCCCCAATTTTGGCCCATCAGCTTTTATTTGAACAAACTTGCTAGACAATCAATAGAAAGTATAATATGCTTAGTATCTAAACTCTAGCTCTTTGGGTTTTTTAAAAGAAGAATTTTTAAGTTTTTACCATACAAAAAATTAAGGAAAATCAATGATCCCAGGGCCGGGCCAATTTTAACCCCAGTGCCCTTATTTGAACAAACTTGGTAGACACCCATTAGAAGATGTTTCATGCTAAATATCTTAGCTCCAGCTCTTTGGTTTTTTAAAAAGAAGATTCTTAAAGTTTTTACTATATTCCTAAAAGGAAAAAATGACCCCCTGGGGCAGGGCCAATTTTGACCATTTTTGGGCTTTTTTTTTTTTTTAACAAACTTGGTAGACACCCACTAGAAGATGTTTCATGTTTAATATCTAAGCTCTAGCTATTTGGTTTTTATACACATGTTATAAAAGAAGATTTTTAATACTTTTACTTTATACAAATAAGGAAAATCAATGACCCCTCAGGTGGAGCCAATTTTATTTGAACAAACTTTGTAGACACTGACTAGATGATGGTTCATGTCAAATATTCTAGCTCAAGCTTTCAGTTTTTTAAAAGATTTTTTAAGTTTTTTCTTTTAGTTGCCACGGCAAACAGAGTTCTGCATGGCATTAAATTCTTTGCCCAATTTTCAAGTTGACTTCCAAAGGAACATTCCTGTGAAGTTTGGATGAATAGCTAAGCGGTTTATGAGATGTCGTTTAAAGTTAAAGTTTATGAACGGACAGACGCCAGACGGACGGATGGCCGGACGCCGGATGAAAAACGATCAAAAAAGCTGGACAGGTGAGCTAGAAATAGGATAAAGAAACTAAACTAACACAAATACAATCATAAATGTAAAGTCAGAGCAAAACACAACATTAAAATACTAGTTAGTACATGGACAACAATTCAGACACTGTATAATTGTGCATTGGTTAAATGTTATGTACATACAGTTTTAATTAGTTTTTGCTTTGTTTAATCACATGAATATAAACATTTTACATTTTTGAAATTCAAATTTAAATAATATTGGGTCATATAGAAAAATTTAAGTACAAACACCTTTTGACTATGTATTGTGGTTTTCATTTGAAGTGTGTTCCCCATGAATTCATGTAAAGTTTTCTCCGGTTGACCTCCTGTAGTCTTGAGAAAACTTATTGTAATGTCTAGATTGTCCAGTGATGTACAAATATCTGGTAGCGTCTTTATCTCAGCACATATCTGAGTCTTAACTGCTGCACTAAAATTTTCCTGAAAGAAACCCAACATAATATAACTTTTTTCACATAATAGGAGTGCTGACTTAAATGCTTAAGAAGTAATAACAGAGTAATTTCTTTAACGGAATGTTCCTTGAAAATAGTCAGTTGAAAAGGATTAATTTTTGCAGTAGTAACACTGATTGCAATTACAGAAAGATAATAATTATGTTAAAATATGTTTTACCTGAGGTATTTTCTCAGACAGTTTTCTGAAGACTTCAGCATCAGTGAACTCAGTTCTGTACACCATCTGGTCAATCTAATTAATAAATTAAAAAGTATTTAACCATTTATCAAATACGATTATCAAATTTTGCTTAAGCTGGTACAAGGGGGTATAGGTGGTAACAAAAATAAACCACTGCCATCAATGCACAACCTAAAACCATACAGTCAAAGGTGTGACATATTCCTTGTTACCTTGTTAGACAAACCTTACTAATTCCCAGTCACTATTTAGAATATAGTATTTTAAAAAATCATGTGAGACATGTTGGAAAGGTAAGTCAATGTAATTTATTGTAATCTTAATATTTATTCCAAGTCAATATAATCAAAATTATTAAAACTGCTCCAATATGTGTCTGTAATTGTAAAATCCTGTAACCGGCAATAGTTTTCATTTCTTACCGTATGTGTTGATCATGTCTATGAAAGGATATAAATTCACAAAACATTACAATAAAGACAAGCATCACTTGAGATACATGTACCTGTATCTCTTTTTCATCACAACAAGAACTAAACACAAGAGCTTTAAGAAATATCATACCATCAACACTCTTCCAACTTCAATTCTTGACTTGGAAAACAAGAATCTGTCCATCAATTGTCTCTCTAAGGCAGCAAAGTCATACTCTATCTTTGTCCCTTTACCCATCTCAAATGAATACTGGCAGTTAGCAAGCACTAAAGGTAAAATGTCGTGCTGGGGGTCGTAGCCGATTAGATGTGCTGATGTCACCTCTTTGGGGTTTACACTGGATATGCTGCCAGATTTCCTGTACAAAAATATTCAGGTTTGCTAAACACTACTTAATTCTGTATCACTAGCAACATTTAAGACCAATATAATAACACCTTTCAAAATGTTTCATGTTTATTAAAAATAAGTTTTTAAAATATTAATTGTGGTTTCATATCAATATTTAAATTCTTTCCAGGTTAAGTTTAAGTCACAACAACACTGTCAAGGTCTTAATGTGGCAGCAAGACGACAGCATGGCAGAGTGGTTAAGGCATTAAACTAGTAATCTAATGATCGCTAACCCCATTTGTTCAAACCCTGTCAGGGGCAAGTTGTTGTTTTCTTGAGCAAGAAACTCTACACTTATTGCTCAGGAACGGATTTGAAAGTGTGTCTATAAGCTTATAGCTTCCTACACGATCAAACTAAAATAAATTCTGTATAAACCAAAGTTATAATGTGCCTTTCCAGCTATACTGTTGGAAAAAACACTACAGGTGCTCCTTTGTGCATTGTTTTGTACACAAAATGAACCACCATCCTACTACAACTTGCTGGATACCTAACAGTATGAAACTACTTTTGATACAGTGTTAATTTAAGAATGATGCTGGTTTTAATCTTGTTTTAAATATTTTGCTGGCTCCTTAATATGAACATGACAAACTAGCAGCGCTGGTCCATTTCACAAAATTAGATGGAAAAAGTCATAAGCCTTTTCCTTTATTGCACATTATGTAAATTGCTAAAGTTATTGCATCATGTAGCGTATGATATAAATATATTAACTTTACATTTATAAGCCTTACGTAAACTAGAACCCAAAATGAACCATACAACAAGCTGGCCCGATGGCTACCTAACAGAACGAAAATACTTTCAATACAGTGTTAATTTAATATTTTCCTGTATTTCACACTAATAATGTATTGTTAATGTATTGTTACAGTTATTTGCATCATGTTGCGTATGGTATAAAGATATCTCAATTACGTTCATAAGCCTTAATAGGGGCAAGACAGGAATATATCAACATGTTCTATACTATACTCTTCATCAACACATCTTATTTATGTGATATCTCCTATTTCTCAAGTCAGCATTAAGTCAGCATTAATATCAAAATAACAGAAATGAGTAAAAGTAGTTACCTATGAGCTTCCTTGAGATATTTATCTAAGAAATCATTTTGTTTTCTCATCAAAAAGTCTAACAGGACATATGAACAAAGTCCTGCCTCTTTTATTGTTGGCAATAGGATAGATACTGGTGTATTGTCTGTGATTGGTTTACTACAGTATTCCTTGGAAATTATCATACCACCTAATTCTGTTGGACACACTGAAAACATGCAATAATCTAGCTATATTTATACTCTCTTGTTATCACAACATCATGCTACAATAATATATTGTTTTATTTTTATTATACCTCACCCGATATTTATTTACCGCATAGCCTTATTGTGATGTCATAGAGTAACAATCCGTTATGCAACATGACAACATCACTTCTTCAGCCTGGTTTGAGGGTTTTAGTATAATAATATAAATATCACATTCCACTCTATGTGACAACACAAAATGTCCACCTTTGACAATTTGTCAACCTTGGCTAATCACAGGGCTCAGGTTCAGGTGAACATTTTGTTGTATCACCCTTATTAGGATGTGATATTTATATAATGTAAGCACTCAATTCATAAAAGTCCAGGTCCATAATTATGTACAATGTGTGCTATTAAGCCATACAAACACAACAATGCTCATTATAATCATGAATTAAAATTTACAAGATATGTTTGTATAGTACATTATTCTAACAACTAATGAACATTTCTAACTCAATTGTTTATGAAACTAACATAATAAAGAAAACACCGCCTAAATCTTTTTTAAAAAATGCATTAGTTTAAAGTTTTAAGAATTTTGGATGGCATGACAACAAAAATGCACACAATATTTTCATGTATAATGCATGTATGCTAATATCAAGCTTCAGTACATATTTATTTTATATGTATACTTACAGTAAAGAGTCAATGATTCTCTAACCAAGTCCCAAGCATCAGCAAAATCTTGCAATAAATCCAAAGTTTCACCACCTGCTATCTCCTCTGTAATGTATCATATATATCATTAACTGTTGATGTTTTATCAAATCTTGCTGGAAAATCTGTACCTGTTACATGCCTTAATGCCCCTAATTTGTTTGTTTCTTTGTTTGGGTTTAACGTCACACCGACACAGTATAGGTCATCTGGAGACGTTCCAGCTTTACTGGTGGAGGAAGACCTCAGGTGCCCCTCTGTGCATTATTTCAGGCACAAACGGGCACCTGAGTAGAACCACCGACGTTCCGTAAGCTAGCTGGATAGCTTCCTCACATGAAAGAATCCAAAGTCCCTGTCACGATTTGAACCCACAGCGGTGAGGGGCAAATGGTTTGAAGTCAACGACCTTTACCACTTGCCCACGGACGCCCTTTATGCCCTTAATTAATAAACCAATTGGATGCTGTGACATTGTATTGCAATTGCCAACAGTACTGTGAAGAGACAGTCTACAATTTTGCATGCAGTTTGACTAGTGTTTTTGCTGTTGGATGCAGAAACATTTCAACATCTGAATTATTGGTAATTCTTCAGCAAAACAAGTCCTTGTTTCAAATTAAGCATCGTAAGGAATACTTTAATACAAAATTAAGCTTTTAAATCAATATCTACATGTGTTTTAATTGACTATTATCTAATTCCACCTTCCTGGACTTACCTGGGTTGTGTTTCCTAAGTCTGAAATCAGTCTTAAAACAAAAACTCAAGCAATTTTGTGCTTCAAAGGAACTAATCTTACTTACAAGTCCTTTGGCATGATTCCTTTTATTTCTGAATGACAATGCAAATGAACATCACCACATTTTGAATTCAAACACATGCCATTGTATTTTTTAACTTTTCTTAGGAGAATGAATTTAGTTAATGTCTAAAGTCTTTGAACTTAAAATAAGAATGGTCATAAGTTAGTCCTAAAGCTGGTCTTACCGGTTAGTCCTAGGACTTAGGATAGTTAAACTAAGGATTTTCTATGAAGCACAGCCCTGTACTTGGTCACAGAATGATACCAGAATCTAACCAAAGAAGGTCTTTAACCACTGATTGCTTATCTCAGAGATAGACAATTCAAACACAAGGCTAACATATCTACAATTTATGATACATACCCCTTTTCAATTGAGCAACAGTTATTTGTGACGCCTCAGCTTTGTCTAACTTTCTCTGATATTTCTGGAACAGAGCTCGATGTAGACGTAGAATACTGGGAATGTAACGTAGAGCTCTCAAATGATGATCCTGAAATAATGAAAAGTCTGACTTTATCTTATCTTCAAAACTGTAAAATTTCTTTTTATTTTACTTGACTGTTTAAAACATAATTTTTTTTATCTTCAAGCAACAAACAGCAGAGGCTTAAAGAATGTCTTCTCTATAAGGTAATAGGTAAAGGTGTATGCCACAGTGACTTATAGACATCCAGGGGCCGATGACTAGAAAAAGTTGTAAGTGCAGTTTATACGAATTTATTTCAGTTTGTGTTTGAAGCTATAAGCTTATTGTAACACTCTTGAAACTGTTTCTGGAATTAACCAGAAACTAAACAATGAGTGTAAAGTTTCTTGCTCATCGAAACAACAGCTTGCTCCTGACCTGGTTTGAACCAATGCGACCAGCAATCCTTGGTTTACTAGTTTGAGGCTAAAACCACTTAATTGGCCATACCACCAAGAGGTTTGAGACCCTCATACTTTTTTGCTTAAAATGTTTCTGTTATAATATTCTAAGATTTAAATAAATTCTACTTTACAGTTTTCATTCTACTATATTTCACTGTATACATAATAATACCATTGTAACAACATTGTACCTCTTTAAGGAAAAGTTGTAGAACTTTATGTTGCTGTTGAGATACTTTAGCTTCAACTTCTTGTCTAAGATGTTGTAGAGATATAGGTGTTCTATAACGCCAGACTCTTGGAATGTCTTCAAGAACAGATGGATTCTCTCTCTCAACATTGGTGTCTGTCTCATACAGTAGACAGAGTAGAGGGTCTGCTCCTGTTATAATAAAACATGCAGAATGATGACTTACAGAACATTAAATTATATTTAATGGACTTTCTTATAAATGTTTCAGTCGCCTATAACTTTACTTAATTTGTACAATAATGTTAAAATCTGCAACTATCAATTTTTAATCTGGGAGATTTTTTTAAAACACAACAGTAGCAGAGTCTTGTCAGAAAACATATATTTAAAAATACAACAACATATCATTAAACATACAGTTACTTACAGGTTTTCTCGACTCTAAATTGGTTATATAGACAGTTTATCAAACTGCAACCTCAGAAAACCCTAATTCTCAGATAATCTAACTTTTTCATTTATGTTAATTTTTACTGTTCTATAAAACCAATGAAAGTTGAATACTGTGAAATTCTCCCTGTGTGGCCATTGTTTTTGTTAAGTAGTAATTCATAATGTGCATGTTGCATATTTGACATTTTAAAGATAATATAAGTAAACAAGAGCTGTCCATAAGACAGCTCACATGACTATTCTTAGTGATTGACTCTGTAGAAAGGTAACTCAGAGTTATTTGACCTGTGGCATCATATTCGGTAATAAACAAAGATCAAGTGTATGAAGAACCCATTCCCTTCAGTAGCTCGAGATACCAGCTTAAAAACGCAAAACCTAACCACATAGTGATGACAACACCCTAGTATTCGAATTATCAAGCTAACAACTATTCCTTTTATTATTAAAGTATTAAGCTCTATTAACATATTAAAATATTACAGCCAAGAAACACTAACCACATTAATGCTATTGGATAATTGATTATTTCTTTATTCCTGAAATCATTGTCAGAATATTTTCTGATTTCACAATAAAAAGTCAACTTACCAAGTCTATGATCCTGAACCAGATGTTGGTTATTGGTTTTCAAAGAGTTTTCAATATTCTACAAAAGAGAAATGCATTTGCTATAAACATAATATACTAAACTCTCTCATAAAACAAATGAGTAAAACTACACTGAATATAACAAAAGTAATACAACTAGAGCAATGTTTATAGTAAGTTCAATCATTACTACCAGTGCCAAGAAAAAAATCTTAAAAAGTTTAATTTTTGTTGTTAATAAAGGTGTCTGTTAAACTTTGCATGAAAGTTATTAAAAATCCCAGCCAAGGAGGCATTTTGCATTATACAGAACAAAATATATATCATTGTGGTGTCAAAATAGGATAATTTACCTGCAATGAAGTCTTTATAAATTTAGTAGAAAATATTGTTTCCCACTGACTTCTTCCTCTTTTGGTCGATAACTGACATACTTCACCACCTACATTTTCCCCTGTGTAAAAATTGTGACAAAATCTAACTTATGTATTTGTTTGTCATGTTTTAAACACAAGGTTAAAACAATTCTTTAGTCAAGCACACATGACAGCAAACAGAAACTTTACAAATATATCCATGTGTGATATGTTCATGTTTAAAACGCAACCAAAAAACTGCATGCATGACTTTATTATGTTTTGAATGGCAATGCAACAAATACAGAAGTTACTCAATCCAGAACATAAACCTAGTTCTTTACGGTGCAAGGTGAAAAGTAACAATTTAAAGTGTCATATGAAAGACAGAATAATTCTAGAATATGTTGTAGGTAACTGATAAAAGATCACTCTATGCCTCAACAATCTCAGGCTAAACTAATTTGGCATGTTACGGGCTAAAGAAAGAACAGATTATGTTTAGATATACCTTCATTATGTATCTTCATAACATGGTCTATAATTGTATGCATGAGTAAAAGAACATCATCAACACTTCTACCAAGTGCTCTATGTATATCATCTATATCTTGTTGTATATGTCCCCATAAAAACTCCTCCACTCCATTTATATCAATGTCTGGTTTTATCAAAAACTGCACAGCCTGTATAATAGCATATACAACATACCATTTATGTCAAGTTAATCAACTTTGAAAAATAAAGATATAACAAATGTAATTTTTTTTTAATTAAAACAATCAAAATTCTAAAAATAAATATATATGAACAAATATACATGTATAAACTTCAAAGGGAGACACAGGCAAAATTTTCATTTCTTAGTTTCGAATTTTTCATTCATTATTCTGTAAATGTACTCAAAATGAATACACTAAACAGTCAAAGGAACAAAACTTTTCTCCATATAAAGAATAAAATGCAGTTTTCCTAACTTGACCCGCGTGGGTCAGGTTAAAGCGCTAAGATTTCACAATAGTTGTCACTGTGTTCTCTGGAAACGTTAAAGAACATGTCAAATCAATTAATTTGACTTGTTTCAATCATACAATATCCACAATACCTGTTATTGTAACTTCCAGGGTTTGTTCAAATCACATGACTTGTTTTTAAACTATTCAGTGATTCAGTTGGCGTCTGTTCAACATATATAAATATATTTAAGCTTCAAATCCAAAATATATAGAATTTATTCAGAAATTCATGCTGGGACTTTAAGAAATGTCATTTTAGTGTGACTTCAATTCACAAGATCATTTTTTATATTTTTGTCATTTTTTTGCCCGAGTATCCCTTTAAAATTGATATCCCTTAGTATTTGACCTTGATTACCAATAAAGTCATTAAATCAATGCTGTTTTCTTTTTTGTGTTACACTAAAACTGTTTTCAATGAAAATGGCCAATTAATGGTTTATCAGATATTTCTTTTCACTAATTAACAAAATAACATGAACTAACATAAGATTTTAATATACCTGTGGATTTGTTCCTACACCAATAAACATGGACATGTGTAGAATAAGCCTTATAGTGGCAGTGTAAGCTGGGGTCAATGTTCTTTCTGGTTTAGGACCTTGACCTCTGACCTGAGCCCGACCAAGTATATGTCCAGTAAGTGTATTGTCCCTCCTAAAATAATATGTTTCATGTTTTAATTTAACTAGTATTACACGTTTCACCAAAACAGTACAAAATGTAAAATATTCTACATAAGTAGCTGATTGAAATTTATAAAATTTATAATTATATCCTGCATATGAATCCAATGAAATAAATGCCTATGTGATGTCCTTAAAAACAGATAATAATTGTTAAAATACCTAATAAAACAAAACAGATTATTAAAATGTCCTCAATACAATAAGCATTTAAAAATACCTTAACTGCACAAGCATTTCATAAATCAAACTGAGAATCAATGCTAACTTATTGTTTTGTTCTGATAGGTAAAAAGTTTTTAGATATACAACGAGGAAGACTGTTTGTTGTATTGTTTCAGGACAAGCAGAATAATCTTTTCCATGCTGAGAGATACAGAGTATTTGTTCCTACGACTAAATTTGGCTTCGCTATGTCATTCAGTATTTCATGTCAGTGTCAGGTTGGAAAAAAAGTAATTGTTGCAAACATAGTGTTTATGATAAACATATACATGTATACATATATATATATATATATATATATATATATATATATATATATATATATATATATATATATATATATATATATATATATATATATATATATATATATAGGAGTAGGGTAAGGGTGTGTGTGTTAGTTAGACGTGAGACACCTTTGGTTTAACTTAATTCAATCTCTGATGAAGGTCACCTAGCCAGCAACAGTTTATTTTCTTTACATTAACTGCAAACCTAGTGTTTATTATATATATAGGTGTAGGGTAGGGATGTGTGTTAGAAGTGAGACACCTTTGGTTTTAACCTTTTACCTCATAAAGACCTGTTTGACCGCTTTTCACCCCACCCCCCTTTTGAGGCCTCAAATAGTGAAAAAAAATGCCCTATTTAGGCCACAAACACTATTTTCGTTTGAGAAATGTTGTTAAAAAAGTGACCATTTTTTCGGCGCCACCCCCTATCAAAAGGGTACATCAACATGGTACCAGAGGGGGGATATGCCCCATTCTGTTTAGGGGTTTGATGGGGGGCAGTAGCCCTCCAAATCACCAAGACAATTTTGGACTTGTGAGATACTGAAAATGGCCTCTGGTCGATCTTAAGGTAAAATATAACCAACCTTTTACTCTATCTCAATCCATTTAGAAGTTGCAGCACTTTGAAATCAGTTTTGATGGAAAAAACAACGCAAAATAGTGATTTTTGGCAATTGAAAATGGCCTCTGGTCGATCAAAAGGTAAAATATAACCAACCTTTTACTCTATCTCAATCCATTTAGAAGTTGCAGTACTTTGAAATTAGTTTTGATGGAAAAAAAACAACGCAAAATAGTGATTTTTGAAATTTTGAGACGTCCCCCTGTTGCTCTGATAACAGGAAAGTTACGATTGAGCATGCTGTAACAAAGCTTTTGGTCCAGTCAACATAATTGTGCCAAGTTTCATCAGTATTGAAGCATTTTTTATAGTTTCATAGCAGTTTGAACTTGTAACAGGAGGCTTTTCAATGAAAACAGCCATTTTTCACAAAATGGTTCATAAAAGGTTACCTTAACCCCACCTTTGATGAGGGTACCCAAGCTAGCAACAGTTTATTTTCATCACATTAACAGGGTACTGACTGTTATCTTATTAAGCAGACACCTAGGCTTTGATGTGGTCAGCGACGCTTGACTATTTGAAAAAGTTGTCACAAGGGTGTTTCATTGAGTATAATAATGCTTACCTATATGAATACATAAAATTCAACGAAAAGGTACAAAGATGTTTTATTGAGTAAACCACTGCTTGATTATCATGAATGCATAAACTTGTCACAAAAAAGGCACAAACCCTTCAGCAATTATGGAGATACCAGCTTACACGCAAAAACTTAACCAAGAATCAAGTCGATAAAGGGGCATAAATATGCACACACAAAAAATTAAGAGTAATGGGACTTGTGCCAATAATGTTTGAAAATCACAGAGAACAAGTGTGCGAAGTTTCAATCCATTCCATTCAGTAGTTATGGAGATACCAGCTTACACGTAAAAACTTAACCACAGGGACACTGACGCCAACAAATGGGTTGATTATTCTGCAAATGGTCAAACTAAAAATGTATATTTAAGATGCATTCAATAAGCATTGCATAACTGTGTAAGTTAGTAAAAGCTGTAAGTGCACATGCCATGCAATTAAGTATAAATACATGAATGTAACTAACCCAGTGTCTTGGGTATTAGTTGCAAGTAACTTGTGTCCTTGTCCACCTATGTCAGCCCCGCATTTACACTTTGAGACTACATATGGTCTCCCACACTAAACAGTTGAAACAGAATTAACATTACCACTAACTTATTTTGTTTACAAAATGTTATACTCTATTATATATTGTGGATACAATATGCATACATGGCTAGTGTAAAACTCTGAAAACAAAGCTTCCATGATACAGCATGTTTCATTTGAATTTCTTTTAAACATACCTTTTTGAAAGGAAGTTTATGAAATCAAACATAAAAGTTGCTTGATAAAAGATCTGCCAGTGAAACTTTGTTTTCAGAGAGTTATATCTGAGTAATTATAACTGACCCTTGGTCGAGGATATTTCCTGGGCGGAGTTGATATCCTTCACCCCCAATAGCAGCGCCACAGTCCCTACAATTCCCCACAGTGGCCGGGCGACCACACTAAATATCAAGAAGCATGACATTAAATTGGAAACTTTTTAATCATATTCATGTATATACTTTATATAATTATATATCAGTCTATACCACATCTTTTATGCTTTTTTATCACATGACATTTCTTGTTTTCCATGTTCTATAACCATTACATACTTCTTTTTATTATAAAATCTATAAATAGCTTTTAAATGCATTTCTCTGATTGGGTAAGAAGTAATTTCCATCGTATTCAATCACAGATTTGATAGCCCATATAAAAATGAGTAATAGGTTTTAAAATAAAACAGATATGTACTTTTTAGCTGGTGAATATGATGTGATGTGTACTGAAAAATTTATATTGTCCTCACCTGTCGCCTCGGTCAATATTTTTTTTAGTACATATCACATCATATTCACCATATTATATAATATCTTCATACAAAAAAGTACGTTAAATGTCAAAACAGGTTTATTTTCATTAATTTCAATGTGTAAAATCATGTGATAGAAAGAATCTCACATTCATTATCATATAATATTATTAAAATTTATAAAACCTGTCCACGAAAATGCAAATAAAGCTCACCAGAGTATTGTTTAATTACAATTATGTCGAATACAATAAATTCAATACAATACAGCAATTCATGTTATATCCTATATAAACACTGCCAAATATATACCATACATCGTTTTAGTAAACTGTCACAAATTTCTATTTATCAGGATATAGTATCTTATTAAGTACTGAATCTCTGTTCAAGGACCATGTCTAATTAAATACAACCATACTGGCATGCGAGCAGTTCCCGTACAAAAATCGTAGTTACTTAAACATTATTTTTTATTACGCTCACTCACCAAAATTTTAATGTTACACATCACTTAATTCAGCTCGTCACACAAATCATGGAAATTCCATCATGTTCTAAACATAGAATAACCCTTAGTTATGAGGCCTCATATGGGGTACCGAAATTATCCATTATTTTGTATGAAAAGAAGTAGTTCCCGTACATAAAATTTAACCCATTATAATTATACAATTTT